AGCCATACCAGCATCCCCTGCAGAGGTCACTGGGTCACTGCTGGCCCTGATCCACCTTTGCAGTATATCCAGCAACATATGGACTTTGAGGGCATGTATTCCATGTAACTAATGCTTCATTTTAAACACCTAGACCTGTAGGGATTTTCTAATAAATAAACAAGGATGAGTAAAGACTTCTCTGAATGTGAGCACTATAGGAGTGTAGGAATGCAGAAGGGAACAGATCCTCTTGACTTGTACTTAGTGAAGGGAGAGGTGACACATGCAACTCTTCAAAGCAGAAAAAGGAGACTTCCTTGGCTTGAATGCAGATGTGTCCATAGGGTGGTGGGGTCTGCCCTGCCCCCAAGCTTCCTGTTCAAGGAACTTTGGATGTGCAGGGCAATAGGGAACTTTGAGTACTGCTTCCCTTTTTTTGGCTTAATCAAGCTGACTGACAGAAAACTATTTATTCTCCCATATCTTTCAGAAGTCTTCAGTATCCTTCACCTGCAGGTTTGTTGGCTTCCCTGGTAAGGAAGGTGGTATAAGCGATACAGCTGCAACAACCTGGATGTCCCCTCCCACTGCCCTCAGATTTATTGGGATAACACCAGGAATTTAATGATAGAGGCTTTCTCCTGTCCCCAAGCTATACTATCTTGCATGATATGGCTGTTCAGGCTAACAAGTTGTGAACAAAACTGTCTGGTAGCGGGTCAGAGTTGATTCAATGTTCCCAGAACTAGAATGGGCCTTGACACACACTGAAGGCTGGTATTAATAAAGAGGCAGCCACATTCCAGTGCTGTTCTGCTTAGGATCCCTAAATGCACTAGTAGCTGTTGGGGTTCTAATGCTTCTAGATCATTTTGGCTATACCTCTCTTCATGAACACTCAGTGCACAGCAGAGACCTTCTTTTTCCTTCTCCATATTCTTGACTTACGCATGCCAGAAGTGCATTCCCTGCTTTGCCAAAGATCCCTGCACTGTGATGAAGGGTAGCAGGGTCTAGAAGCTACCTGCTGGCTGGCACAATATTAGCTATAGAGGGATAACTCTTCTTTTGGTCCTGAATTGCTGCAGGTGTACTTATACCCAGTTGTTGTGCCATTCAGCAGGGATGACCTATCAGACCTCTATCTGGCCTGTCTTTCTGCCCTTGAAAGCCTCTGAGGCTGCTGAGACAAAGTAGGGTCCAGATCCTTGTGCTCTGCATATTCAAACATGAGGACTGATGGACATGTTCTGTATAGCATAAGCTCAAGAACTTGAGGGAAGAAAAAAAGGAAAAGCTACCATTTTTGGAAAAACAAAGAAAACCAAACAATAGTTTAAAAACAGTTTACTGACTACATCTGCTTGAAATTCACTTTGAAATGCATTGTGAGTTTGTAGTAGCCTTCTGTAGCAAAATTCTTATTCTGGGTTAGCACATGTGAGAAACTTGAGGTTAAGTCAGACTGACAAAAACTCAGTCAAGCCTCTACTGACCACATGATGATGAACTGCTTCAGAGCCATTTGAAAAAGGGGTGATGCAGATAAGGAAGTCTGAAGTCATAGGTGAGAATTTGGGATTAAATGACCACAGAATGTTAACAGCAGCTAGTGAACCAAAATGGATATTTGACAAGTGTAGACTGAAAAGGAGGTGGGGATGGACAGATTCCAACACTGTTAACTTATGTGAGATTAAAGTATCCCAAACATCTTGTTGCCTGCCTGCCAGATAGAGCAGAAATTAACCTTCTACAGTACACTGGATGCCTTGAAATGTAGTCTGCCACAGACAAAGAGATCTGAGACTAATGCTATTTAGTACTTTTATGAGACCACAGAAATGCATCAGCTGTTGAAAGGTCTTGCTCAAAGTATCCCTAGCACTGAACTTCCTGAATGGGGTGAGAGGGGTGCAAACCAAAAGAACATGGCTAAAGCATTGTGTTCGGAATCAGTAATGTCATTTCTCAAGAAAGGAGAAAGTATTTCCAACAGGCAATTAAAGATCTAAGCAACAGACATTAAAAGTACATGGATTTAGCTATGAATTTACCCATTATTCTGTGTCCCGTATTTGAAGAAACCTCTAAGCTTATGCCATGTAATTAGAGGTGTCAGTGTATAAGCACCTGGATTTGTTTAAACATCTAGTCTCTGCTTTCAGTACTATGTCCCAGGTAAAGTATTGTCAGTGTTGTACAGTGATTGTAAGTGTTCCACTTGCTGACCCACGGAATGATTTGTTGCTACTTTGTCCTAACACTCATGAATGTGAAGAGAGGATGCCTGCCATGCTTGTGAGATAACAGAGATGAAAACAGTCAGGGATAAAATTACCTGGGCTGTGCTATAATGAATATTGAAATTTACCTTATTAGCCCTGGATATATTTGAACACTAATTTTTAGTAATTAGTCATAACAACTTCATGCAAGGTCAGAAAATTCTAGAAGGGTGTTACAAAGAATAATGTGGAGGCTTGACTTCAATTCCTCTTCTGAGTTCTAGTCAGGCTATAATTAGGGATAGAGTTAGGTGTGGCCAGAACCTGCTATGAGGACAGAAATGTCCAGTGTACAGGACCTCTGATTACAGTACAAACAACCTGAAATTCCACAGGACAAAGTCTGAACAGACTTGTTTGTCTTAGGAAAACAGGACCACCTGATCATCATGGGCTGCTTGAAGGTTTCCAGAAACAGTGACATACTACAGCTTATGTGAACAAGCCCCCCAAAGGAATGTTTGCGCATCAGAAATTTCTGCCAAGAGCTGAAGTAATGGACAGGAGATGACACACTGAGAATGAAGAACTGCATGGCTGGACTGTACCTCATAAATTTTGGCATGGCACTTAGTCTTGGCTACCCAAAACCAAATGGGTTAGTTAAAGAGCCTGTGTAGTAAAGAACCAGCTGGAGGCGAGGAAGAAAAAAAAACCAAAACCAAACACATCTAATGATCTTATATTAAACTAATAGCTCTGCCTGGAGACTTAGTTTTCCACAGAAGGAAAAGAGGTTTTGTTAACCACAAAGGCTCTAGTTGAAACTTGTCATCCATGCCATGCCAAAAGTTTTGTGTGAACAGAGAGATGTACACATGAACTAACTGCTCTGCCTGAATTCCAGAAGGCCAGCAAAGCCTAGTCTTCCTTCATGGCTTCTGTAAAAACATACAGATGCATCTCTGTGCCTGATGGGTACCACAGTGAAAACATTATCTAGTCCTATTAATTTTTTTTAATAAAGCCACTCCTTGTGGAAAGTTTGTACATCTGTGGTTGGCAGATAATTAATTTGGTTCTGACACCTTCCTGGAAAAGAATTTCTAAAGTATCATGCAAAGTTTGGATTTCCTGTTGATCGTGGATTTTCTAGGAAGAGGAAGTTAAAGATTCTCTGTGACAAGATCACACCCATTTCCCCAAAGCAGCAGCTGAGCTTGCTCAACCCACTAATGATGTTCTGCCCTGTAGGCAAAATCTGGATCACAGAGCCCACAGGACAGCTGTGCTCTGCAATGGCAGCTGAGAGTTGCGGTTAGCATGTAACTTGGTGGCACTCCCACAGCCCTGCATGGAGCTTGGGGCCACTGGTGCTTCAGTTTACTTTCCATCCCACTTCCCCATCCCTTGTGTCATTGTGGCTGGTTAGCTTGGCACAAAGCACAGAGGCAGGTGCAAGTATGTGGCAATCCTGCACAGAGCCCCCTCAGAGCAGTTACAAACTGTCCTGCACTGCCTTTGCTCGGGCGCTGTTTGCAGCTGCGGCCCAAGGCCGCAGCCGCGCAGAGCTCAGGTCTGCTGTTTCACTGACTGAAGCGCAGGCTGTGCGTGAACTGGGGCTGCCTCAGTTGCTTTTCTATAATTGCTAGAATTACGCACAACAGGCTGCAAAATTCCCCTCTGCTTGTGAAGAAAGCTGGTACTGGAATTAAAATGGGCTTGAACACTCAGACTGGTAAGTGATCGCTTCTAGGGTAAGTGCACAGAGACTGGCTGCAGACTGGTCATGGGGCAGAATATGAGATGCCAGTGCCACAACCTCATCTCGAACCATGGAAATGTGCTTGGAAAATGCCCACGACAGGATGGCAGGAAAGGTGGTGCAAAACAAGCAAGAACAGTAAGGCTGCGAGATATGAGGCAGTGTCTTCAGAGGGACCTTGCACAGAAAACAAAAAGAGAAACAGAAAAGCATTTGCAAAAAGTATAACGCCACTGCCCAAGGAGCTGGAAAACTCGGGGGCTGCAAGGGAGTGAGACTGTTTATCAAGCCTACCTAGGTTCTTAGAAGATAAAAGAGGATGAATATGAGCAGATGTTTCTGGAGAAGATGCAACAAATCCTTGCTGAAAGGAGGGGCGGGGGGGAAGTGGGCAATTGGAGTAGGCCCTGCAAGTGGAAGAAATTGGCAGGTTTCCTGTTGGAACATCTTGACTCAGCAGCATGGCTCCAGTGAACTTTTCCAAACCCAATTTTGGGCCAAATCACCTCAGCTGCTTTCAGCACATTCATTTTACTGGCTGCATCCTCCTGTTTTTTGCCATCTGGTAACCCTGCCTGGCAGAGGTTCCTGGTTTGTCAGTCTCTCCGCTTAAGGCAATTACAGCTGCAGCTTGAGACTTCCTTTCTCCGCAGGCAGGGTAGTGGTGGTCGGCACTGCTTCCCCCTTAGTGTGGGGGCCCATAATCTCTCTTCAGTCTTGGTGTTTTCACTGGGTCCAGCTATTTACAGATCCCTGCGGTCCCTTCCTCCCTGTGTTTCCTTTCTATCATACCAGCTGGAGGTCTTCTTCCAGGCCCTGTATTTTGCCCCTTTGATTTTACTACCTCTTTCCTTCCTGAGTCTATTGTTCCTGCTTTCTGCAGGAGGCTCACACCAAAACAGTCACTGCCCTCAGCTGTGACCGCACTAGCCCTTTCTCTCAAATTCTCCACAGGGCTTCCCCCACAGGTGCCACACAGTTTGTAAGGAATGCT